TTTCCAAATACCCTGTTTAATTCCTTTGTTCGGTGAGCCCTGCAGGATTTCCAAAAATCCTTTCGCCCCCCCCCCCCCCCGATCACCCCTCACCCCCCCGGCCGTCCCGGCCGTCGTTCTTGTTTTGTTGGCTTCATGGCCGGGTGAAGGGAGCCCAACCTCCTCTTAACTGCCATGTTCTGCAAGCGCTGCCTCCTGCGAATAGCTGTTTTGTTGCCAAAGCGACAATTTGAAGGGAGCCCGGCCGCTTTGCACCTCCTATGTTGCTTCTCAAACAGCGGGCTGGCAAACAACCCCTCTGGGTATAACCTCCTATCCGGAAATGTTTAATGATTTTCATGAGGGCCTCATCACCGCCACGTGAGGGCCTCACTATCAGTTCCTGCCCTCACAGGCTCGGGCTGCAGGTTCTCGAAGAGGATCCTTCTGCGGATTCTCGGCAGTAGATTGGCACGAGACGGTCGGCGCAATTGTTTTCGGAATTGTTTTCGAATGAGATGAAATGTCAGGGAGAAAAGGTTGCACAAGGTGTGGTAAAGGATTTTCGCCCTAATTCTGGCTACTGCGCGGTTTCGTAAATATGTGGAAACTCGCGGGCAAACTGCGGTGCTGGGGTCCTTCAAGTGCGATGTGAAACCCAAGGGGTGAGTCTTTGCAAGGTTTGCACACTACTGCAAGTTCCCCTGCCGAACGACCTCCCGAAAATTTGTGAGTAAGAGAGGCTGCTTGTAGCACTTCCGCTGCGTTCCCCATTTGTTGCTCATGCTACCATACTCTGTAGCAGGCTCGGTCCCTGGAAGTCCTTGTGCAGCTTTCGCAGGTGACCGATCACACGAAGGCCTCCTGCATACGTTTGCAATGCCGTTCTAGAATCCTAGAACTGCCCCTTTTTCCGTCACTCCTCAGCTGCAAGCCGCACCAACCGGCACGTGGGCTTCCCCAGGCCCATGTCCAAGCCTTGACCAAGGAATGCGCCTTCTGGCACGAGGTCGAGCAGCGCTGGTCCACGCAGGGCATGTCGGTGGACTCCTTGGGAAACGGCACGGCCACTTGCGCGATCAGGCACCTTCGAAACCATGAATGCCATGAAGCCCCTCCCCTTGGCAAAAAAAGGAAGCAAGGTCAAAGAAGCGAACTCAAGTCAAATAAGCGTCTTAGTTTGAACTTGTAAGAGAGATGTTCAGCTTGCAGCTGCTTATCTCAATTTGGTCCGGACTGTAGGCTCGTTCCATCTCGTTGATATGTGGCGAGCTGTCAGGGACGTCTGTGTCCTTAACTTAAACGTGTTCAATGATGTAGGACAGAACGAGGAGTGTTGAGGCCAACGCTTTGCATGGAACGAGGCCGAACTCCCACAAACATGATGCACCCGGCAGTTTGCCCGTTCATCTCCCCAAGCACCAAACCACCCAACAAATGGAGTCAAGAGAAGCTGCAAGGTACGACTTCAATTTCAGTAGCAGGCCTCCTCAGTACAAATTCATGCCCTGACAGATCATTCTAACGATGCCGGTTTTGTCGGAAGACAGGGGGGAGACTTCGCGAGTCGTAGACGCACTGGCAAAGAACCTCTCACCTACACGACGCACAAGGACCCACGAGCTTCGTATCCTTGTCCTGCCCATTGGCTCGGACTGTAATGTAGTAGCGCTCTTCAATCAGGGAGGGTTTTGTGGGTTATTCAAGCTGCACCGGAAGTCTTCCCCAAGTGCAGCTTTTTCATTCCATCTACCTGGGTGTCTTCGCAGGTACGACCTGCTCCCACTCGTGTCTGCACGTGACGGTGAGGCCCAGGATGGTGACGGCGAGGCCTGGACGGTTGCAGCATGATCTGCAGAAGCTCTGCAACTCGCGGGCGCCATGGAGCCAGCCATCCTTCAAGATCCCTCAAAAGTAAATGCCGAAGACGATCGGATGCAAGGATGGATGTGATCCAATTATCAAGCGGCAATATCTGTTCTGTCGACGTCTTCTTCCACTATCCCGGTTGTCATTGCAATTCCATGCCTTCTATTGTGTGGATTTGCATACTTGGGAGCCCGATCCAGGCAAGTCGCAAGGATCCGTAAATATGTACAACCAATGTGTAAACGACATAGTCAATTTTGCGATCTTGGGTGGACTCGCAACTTTTCTTCTTTTCAAGCGCGCGGGATCAACATGATCAACCCCATGTCGCCACGCTTCATGTAAAGTCTAACTCTGGGAAATCCAGAAGCTTTGGACCCTAAATGCCTATCTCTGGCGGCAGGACACTCAAGACGAGAGCCAACTTCTTTCTGCCTCTGCTAAAACTTGAAACATCCCCTGGATGCCCTAGCAAAACGCCTCTTGTCACAGCCGGAGCCGTAGGAGCATCTTAAACATAGACATACCCATATCCAAGTATCAAGATATGCAAACGAAGAGCCACGGCCCAGAGAAGGCCTCCCCCAGAGCGCCTCCAGCCTCCAGGTCCAAGCCCTGCCGCCCAGGAGCCTCGTTTTGGGATGATCTTCTCTGGGTTTGGGGGCTCAAGGTTTAGAGTTTCGAGGAATCTCGGAAGGCTTTAGGGCCTTAGGGTGCAGCAGCTGCAGCGCGTAAAAAAAAAAAACTGCACGGGCTGAGCGCAACATCATGTAAACAAATTACCAGTAGTAATGTTCTGCGTGTCTTCGGCGTCACCGATCCTAGCCTATTCTAGACAAAGAGTTTACATGCAAGTTAGTGTTTCAAAAGCTGCCATAGAATTGGGAACAACACTGACGAAGTTGAAAGACTTCCGAAAGCCCAACGGCCGGACAACCTTTGCCACGGCGTTAACTGCTGTCATTCGGCTTTTTTTTCAAGAGCTGGAGAGGCTCCATTAGGCACCCTTTTACCTTAGAGCCACGACCAAACCGTGAAAGGAAGCCGAGTCTCTTTGGCTTCATCCTGCAAGCCGTTGGTGCGACCTTCTCCTGCTCCTTAGCCTCGCAGATCTTCTCCGTGGAGGCGACGGAGGGAAAGGGCTGAACTGGGCTACAGAGATTGGACGGAGAAGGAGCATGCAAGTTCCTGCCTGGTTGGGTTGCACTTACATTGTGTTCATGATTTACGGGGAGAGGATGGTAGATGTGGATAACCAACGATTCGTGCGGCTGTATACTGAACACGGACATGTACTCCTATGTATCCAGGCGTCTACACCTACAAAATTGGTTTAGTGGCACCTAGAACTTATTCGAAGCTTCATTGCGTTTGGCACACTATATGGCCAGATGCAGTCTGGAACCAAGCACCACCCTTCACTGACAGCTAGACTGTCGTGGCTAGCTTGTTCATGTCAAGTAGCATGCACATCCTAGCTGTCCATTCCAATCTCAGTCCATGGTGATCAACCTCGCCAGGTGCCTGCAAGGTGTCTCAAACATCATTTCTGAACTCTAACGCTTATCCCTGTGGTTCTGAAATTTCACTTTCTTACCAGCATCATCCACACCGACACGAATTTTGAGCTCGGTATGACTGTCAACTCACACCTGTCGAAGTTGTCCGAGTGTGGTCAACATGCTTCTAGCATGCCTGCACCTCTCCATACTTCTTGTAATTATACTCACTACCACACATCCTCCGATAGTCGCACCTCATCTGGACTTTGCATTTCCTTCACCTCCTTCTGGGCACGATTCGTGTGAGAGGTGTTGCCCCAATGATCAAGACGTCTATGATTATCTTGGTCCACTAGGCTGCGGCAATCGTCCTGCTACTCGCTCAAAACAGCTGATCGTTCACGGCCGACATCCTCCCCCGGCAACTTTTTTAAAAGCGACGGCTGCATCGCAGAGTTCTTGTAATGTTGAACGATGCCCGTGCATTGGCTGTGTTGTATCCCTTTCGGTTGTAGTACGGGGCGTTTAGCAGCCTTCACATCAAGCTGCACCGCTTGGCTTTGTGGTACTTCAGAATCTGTTCTCCGTACATTCTACCTTGTAAAGTTGTACGACGTTGTACGGGCTTCCGGAGATCGCGATGTGTGTGCGCGGTACGGCTGCTGGCGTGGTGAACCTGATCTGGACAAGCCTCGACGTGTCAGGATTTACTTGCTTTTGGGATAGATGTGTCCGTAAAGCGCAATTTCGTTTGGGGCACGTGCCATCAAATTGGCCATCTGTGTTGCAGGGCCTGGAAGCTCTGGTGGCAGACCCAAACTGGGTCGTGCGCTGGCCTGCCATCATGACTTGGGAGACCGGCCAGCACCTTCAGTGTCGTCCGTTCGGTTTTTGTGTTCTTGTGGCTAGTTCCATGCGGTCTCCTATCCAGCCTCTCCGGTCCAGGGAATTTGTCAAGCCTTTGTGGCCATTGCTTGCAAATCCCAAATGTTCCAATGTGAGCAGACCTTATGACCGCTCTAGAGCGAGAGAGACTCTGAAAGAAATGAGCGAAGCACTCCACAGGGACTAGAGAATCGGAGCAGGAGGAGGAGGAGAACGAGGAGCTAGCCGCTCGAAAGGGTCAAGAGAATCTGAGAACGAGGAGCCAATCGTTCCAACGGGACGAGGAAGAGGAAGGCGATTGCACAAGCCCTGATGCAGAAAAAAGAGGAAGAGGAGCGAACCGCTCGAAAGGGACCGCAGAGAATCTAAGAAAGAGGAGGAGCAATCTGAGAAGGTGGAGCAAGATTACTAGAGAATCCGAAAAGAGGAGCGAGCATTTCGGGCGTGACGAGAAAAAGGAGCAAACCGCTCGAAAGGACTTCACAATCTCAGAAAAATGGAGCAAAGCGCTAGAAAGGGAGTAGAGAATCTGAGACAGAGAAGCGAAACGTTCGCAAGGAAGGGACTGGAGAATCTGAGAAAGAGCAGCGAACCGCTCGAAGTGGACTGCAGAATCTGAGAACGATAGTGATCGAAAGGGGCCCGAGAACCTGAGAAACAGCAACGAACCGTTCGAAAAGGACAAAGGAAGAGGAGCGAACTGTTCGAAAGGAACTGGCGAATCTGAGAAAGAAAAGCGAACCGTTCGAAAGGGACTAGAGAATGACGAGCGAACCGTTCCAAAGGGACTAGGAACTCCGAAGCCACATAGCCACATGACTAGCAGTTTTGCTTCAGAAACTTTGGGTCACAGTCTGCAGACTTCACGGCCACACCTACAAACCCGCAAAATAGCTCTGGTATACTTGACAGCTGGAGAATTTTCCCCGTCAATTGTCAGACCGTCGCTCGAGACCTTGCCAGTCTTGAGCGCGAGTGGCGACAAGTCTTGAACATGTTGAAAACCGTCGCGCCTCTGTGAGACATGGGAGCTTCCAGGAAACTAGCACCAGCCTTCCCAGTGTCGTTGCCGTTGTATCCTACAAGTCGAGTAAAAGCATATGGCATTTCTCAGACCTTCCGCGTGCTCCCTCCCAGAACCTCGCATGCAAGACCTTAGAACTGTCAACTGAAGCCCCAGATATATTGCGCAAATTTCAATGGTGACATTTTCACCTCATCAAACAGCCTCTGATCTCTAATCGAATTTAAACCCCTGTTCTCATGCAACCCTGCATCTGGAAAGAGAGAGGGAAAAAGAAAGCGGCTTCCAAGTGCTGGGTCTGCATTCTGGAGTGCATACTCCAGGTGTCGGTTCATCGTGTGTCACAGGGATGTCGTACTTTGCATGCATGCTGGGGCTAGTATAGAAGTCCCAGAATCGTTTGATCGAGGTGACCCTGGTGGCAGGTGTCGGCTTGCTGTTGCAAGCACATCGAGCAGACAAGCAGTAACTCGATCTTGTTGTGGCAAGTTTGTCGTTCTCCCACCTCGCCACGGGTGCGTTAGGATGATGTGCCTGCACTGATACGTGTAGGTATCGTACGGCCGCTCTGCAACCCGAAATCTGTGTGCAGCCGGCCGAACGCATGCGCACTATGTAGGTCCTTTTTCAATCAAGTCCGTGTGACCAGGAGTCTGTTTAAATGTCGTGTGACGGATAAAGGTACGAGCAGCGTTTGGAACAGCTCTTGCGTAAGGAGGCTGCCCGTGCCTCGCCTCAAGGCTCTATCAAAGGTCTGAAGTAAAAGGTTGCCTCTGGACTTCAGGGCTTGTCTTCGGGCTTAAGGGGCGCGAAGGTTATCTGGGGACGTTGAGAAAGTCATGTCGTTCGGCCACGCGGGGGCCGGTACTGCAAAGGTTAATACAGGCTCCATATCACATTCGCACGAGCTGTGACACAAGCAATTTTCAGTCTACAGCCTGCTGCCATTTCACAGCAACCTAAATTCGACCCTTGTTTGCGAAGCCGGTAAGTTCAAACCACACAGGGGTGGTCGCTTTCAGCTTATCCCTGGGTTGGGCTCCAGGGCCCTTCATTTGGCGCTTACAACCAAAGATCAAACAAAGGCTCTGCTGGGCTTCCTTGCCCGTGTTCCTTGAAGGGGATGCATTGAATCAAGTTGCAGAAAGAAAACTGTTAAATCAGAGGCTCAAAACCTAACCCAGCCTTTTGCCTAAATGGCGTGATGCAAGCCATGCCAGAAACGAGTTCGTTTTGGCTAACTGTTCTATAACTTGCAGGTGTCTTTGAAGAGGCTCTGACCGGATGCAGCAAGCCTACATCTGGGGTTGTAGTTTTGGTCGGAAGACCTGGATGGTTCGACTGTGCCACAGGCTCCTAAACCCTGCAGCAGAAAGAAGCGCGAGATGCTCCCACCGACAACTGTATTCAGCTTGTTCTACAGGGATGCGATTAAATCAACGCGTGACGAGGTCAAGCCTGATATTGTCGCCCCAAACCTACCTGACGGAGCTAGAACCAGTGAATCGAGGCGAGATGCTGATAGAGAAAGCGAAGAAGGAGAACATCTTCTTTGTGAAGCTCAGGCAGCCACGCACCCAGAGAGGGAATCAGCCGCCACGACAGGCCTGCAAGGCTGTGTCGAAGCCCGAATCGACTTCTCCACGTCACTGCGGCGCTTGGGAGATGGGCAGTTGCCGTGGGGCCACGGTTCGCATGGTACTGTAGACTTCCTGACAACCGCTTCAAAATCGGAATGGTTGTTGTTTTATGGTGGAGTACATATGAATGCTGAGCAACACTTCGGACACTCCTAAGGGTCCGGCTGCACGCTTTCAGCCATCCATCATCCATCCGTGGATGTGCCTATCTATCCAGCAGCGACTGCCCAATATGCCTTTTCATTCCATGACCCTGACCTGCTGTGAGTCGATAATGGAAAGGAAACGAAGACGGGTTTGACTAATGGACTGGGGCTCGTCTCCCGGGATAGTTCCTTTCTGTGGACGGGGCCCATCGCAACCTGTCGAGGCATGGAGAAAAAACCGACGGTTCGAGACAGCAGTCCAAACATGCCACCCCTCGACACGATACCATTGCAGTGCTCAATGGTGTGGCTCCTTTAAGCATGCCCCACAGCTCGCCGAGGCTGCTGGAGATTCGGCAACAGCGACTTGGCTTGCAGAGCGGGAGACCAACCTGTTTTTGGCTTAAGAAGAGTTTGCAGATGCAAGGCCTGAGGTGGAGAAGTCTCTAGCTTCACCGTACGAAACCTTCCACGTGCACCTCGTCCCTGTCCTTTCAGGCTCCTTGGCATGGGCGCTCGGGGGATGGTGGCAGACCGGGCCCACTGGAGCATCCTTCAGGCACGGCTAGGCCGGGATCCCATTTGCAAGGGCTTGAAATGGTGGGCGTCGGGGTGTTGATTCGGTTGAGGGGTCCTGAGAGTCGGATGATCAGTGCTAGGGGAGTGATATTACAGCTGTAGTGTTGATCGCGGCTTGTGGTTGAGATGCCCATCGACCCATCGAAGACATAGAGATGGGATCTGGGCGACCGGCTTTCTAATCCGCGAGAGGGATACAGTCCCGTGCTTCGGGGGCGGGGTTGTGTTCCCGTTGGTTGATCTCGCCAGGTGTTGACTCCACTTTCCTGCATTCCCTCTACCAGGTAAGTGGCCAGACGGTCCCCCGGCACGCATGTGTTGGCATGATCGAGGGGTTTGCATTCAACTGGATGTCGTGGCAGTTTTGGTTTTTCTTCTTGAGCTAGAGGAGGATACAGTATCCTTGGTTGGCGATCTTCCCAGCAGTGTGTTGCGGTTGGAGCTAACTCGTAGCCTTAGTAAGTTGAGGCAGAGCACCATTTCCGGTGTGAGACTGCTTACTCGCTCTTGACACTGATTTCTCTATCGATCGTCTGAAAGCTCGTAGATAGGGGTAAAAACACAGGGATAGGTTCCGTTCTGTAGTGCTGAAGATCCTCACGAGGAAGGTAGATGCCGCGTCCGAAGTCGCTGTAGATGGTTCCAAGAAATACTCATGTTGGACACCCTGCCTATTTTTCAGGACACCAGAGACGGGAGGTCGAGTGGTCCTTGCACTCTTACTTGCGGATACCAACATGCAATCTGATGAGTCCCAGTAGGTTCGAGTGGCATCATGCCTTTTTTCATTCTGCCCCTGCACCGTCTATGAAGACTGCTGGCATCCTTGTCTCAACTTGTACACCAAAAGCACCATGAGAGGGATTTTTGGATGTGGTCCATGCGACGAAGCCCATGAGAGAGCGAGCCCAGGCCTTGCACATCGAAGCGAGGCAGCTCCTTGAAAACTTCCATGCTGCGGGCCTTTGCAGACGCCTCGTCGCTCTGCCGCGCGGCTCACTCCAGACTCTGGGTTCATGTGGCGATTCCGAGTGAGGGTTGCTTGTCTCCACAACGACCCTTCCTATGGCTCCTCGTGGGGCTTAATGCGAGGTGGGGGGGGGATGTTGGTTTTGGCAGCCCACTCTCAACTCAATTTCGTTGGCCTTGGCTTTGGGAAGGAAGTTTTGGGTCCGGGTCCTACCCTTTCGACTTGCCTCCAGCGGGCTCGAGGAAGCTTCCAACAAACTACGTGCGTACTCATCAGTGATTGAAGGATTGTTCGCATTGCCCAGTTTCCCATTTATCACGAGATGCCCCCTGTCCATATCTCTGACTTAGCGATATCCTGACGATGGGGTGGCTAGGCTCAAATCATCGCAGCACTTCACCACATTGTTTCGGTAACATAAGGGCGATAAGTCTAAGACTTCTTAGACCTCTTCATATTCTATTCACATTGCGTGTGCCTCCATTGGGCACGGCCCCGAGAAAGGCACACAGCCTACTGCTCGTGGGTGCGTGTTCTGGAGCCCTCCTTGCGAGTGACCTGCTTGGAGCGTGCGGCCGTGGCGCTATGCAAGTTTTACAGCGGCCGCTTGGACGCCCGTGATAACTTGCGCAGAGCCCACAAAGGGAATTCCCAAGAAAAGGTTCTGACGAATGTGTCCTAGGACAGTCATGCGAAGCATCGCAACCCTTCCATGATCCGACTAAGCTCTTTTTGAGCATCCATGTTCTTCTGGTTTGTGTGCAACATGGACAGGGACTTGTTGAGATTTAGCCTGATGCTAATATGGAAAGCTTGATTCAGAACAGAGGCCGCCTGGCTTGGAGTTTCAGGATGGAGAGGTTCGGTTCAGCAGAACGGCATTACGCCTTAAGCAACAAGGCGCATTTACCAGTTCACGCCCACCTCACCAGGTCCTTGCAAACATGGCAACCGCGATCGGGCATCAGGGATGTGTCAGTTGGGATTTGCTCAGTCCTGATTTCTGGAACTGCCCTAGCTTTTGAAAGAGAACCTCGCCGAACCTCCCATTTATCCAACCCTTTCGATACTGAAGCTTCCCGAAGGTTTGACTGGCATGCCATACTTTTGAGGCTCACGGCCTGTTGAGGAACCGCGACACCCCGAGATAAAGATCCCGGAAATGGCATGCTTCATTGGGCGACTGTTTGTGGTGGGTGATGTTGCGTTGTGGCAAAGCGCCTAGCTTGAGAAAAGACTGATATTTATTTTCAAGCGATTCAGGCCGGAACTGACCTTGATGGAAGAGCTCAGGACTTGCAGTTGCTGCCGTCTTCTACAGCCAAGCCGCCGTGGCTCCAGGCCAAGACGAAGGACGGCGTGTGGTGTTTTAAGAGCTTGCATTCCGATCCTGGAGAGAAAATGATTTATGGGCTTGTTGCAGCGGGCATCAATAAGCAGCTTATGTTGGCAGCAGCACCCCCAAATGCCACCTTGCACAGTCTCAACTATCGTGAAAATTCTTCCAAACAAGCCTTTTGGTGTTCAGTTGCCTCCAGTGTTTGTTAATCGGTTGCTTGTTCGTTCGGAGGGACTTATGACTAGGTAGACCGGTAGACCGGCTCTTAAAACGGCTCTGACACACGGCCAGGCTGCAGCATCTTCCAGGATCCTCTGGCGCAGCTGATTCGCACCGCCGTGGTTGCATGGGTCTCCGCGATGGTGGGGCTGCTTCCGTTCTTGGCATTGCTTCTGAGTTTGCAAAATCCTAATCCTAGAAATGATGTAAAGCATGGTTCAAGCATAGAGGAGGTCCGATCTCTCAGGTCTGTATCAGACAGGAAACAACACATACAGAAGCAGAAGGTAGCACAGGCCCGGTGTGTCTAAACGTCCTTTGGTCTTGGAGTTGTAAGTGTGCATGTTGCTCAGTAGACATACAGACCCTGGAAATTAAGGGGCTGTTTTTGTCACTAGTCACTAGGGCCACATGATGCAGGAGCTTTCCAGGTCAGTTCACCTGAGTACAGCCCGCAACCATTCCGAGACCGTCTTGATCTCGGTTTGGAGGGTCGTGTCGAACTTCCAGTACTTTGGAGGTTCTGGGTTGTATCATGTGCCAGGAGGCCTCCAAACGGACATATGTGAAGCTCGAATCTCTGGCTAAACCAAAGTGGCCAACCGGGGGTGTAGATCATTGGCGGAGTGTCCAGAAGACAAAGCAACGGGACCAGAGTTTGCCATATGAGATCTGCTTACAGCAACCAACACCTCTCACGGCGATGAAAGCCCCACGTACAGCCTTTCGGAACACCTTGAAGTGGCTCCTTCGACGGGGTCCCAGATCGTCTGCTCTCCGAGGATGCCCCTCTTTGAGAAGCTTCGGAGTATGGAGCTGAAGATGCGTCACATCATCTTCTGGACAGCTCAAACTGCATTGCCACCTAACCCTATACTGGACTACGTAAAAGATTTTGGGAGGCATGTCGTGATTGTGATGTAGGCCCAATCCTTCTGACGGAGTTTTCACAAAGATCTAAAGTATGTCTCGTCCCAGTTGCGAGAGCGTAAAGGATGTCTACCATGTGATCTTCATGTGAACAGCGGCTTGGGAAAGCAGGACAGCTTGCACGAGCGTCCTTTTTGGGCATATCGTGTATATCTATATATGTGGTATTTTGAAAATATGCTGAAATCGTCCTCTACTCTCTGCCCCTCTCGGTTTTGTTCGGCGTCTCGGCAACCCTCTTAACTTGCTGTTTGGATTCAGTCCTGTGCACCTTTGTCAAGAGTATATCGAGTTTTGTTAGAGTGTGCAATTAGCACCTGGAGCATTCATTAAATCAGATTTGGTCCGTTGAACGTCCGTACCCTCATTGTCGTGTCCCGGTAACTTTGCCATCATGTCGCGACTTCCGCCAGGAGCTTTATCTCTACCTACCTGCTGACCTGCATCCTGGTCGCCGCAACCTGAGCCAGTTCCAGAAAATGTTAAGCAGCCGTCTGTGCGGTTTATTCCAGACTGCCGGCTTACAATCCTTGACGTACAGCAATAGCCCCGTTCACGGGCCTAGACCCTAAACCGTCTCCCAAAAACAGGAAATAGTGCTGTGCCTCGCCGAAAACATTCACTTTTTGCAAGCATTGCGGGCTGCTGCGCTGCCCTGAAATTCGGATGTGGCTTCCAAAAGGACCTGAGGCTGCACGTCATCAAAGACAACGCTTTGCCAGCAATCAGCCAAGCAAGCACGAGAAGCATGTGCGACTTCTTGCCGCAGGCTCGACCCTAAGACAACAGTGGAGGAAAGACTTTTCCGGATCAACGGTTGCCAGGTCTGCATCTTCCAATCTTTGGTGAGCTACAAGGATGACGGGTCGGCTCAATCCGCAGATGTGTGCCGTCACCAACAGAAAGGCTTTTGCTCAGCCATGTTCATACCAGAATCTCAAATGTTTGTGGGATACAGATCGCATCTTCAGTCCTATTCCTTAAAGGGCTCTGAAGCAGAGAGTGTTGGAGATCCCGAGTTCTGATCAGGCCATCACTCCTCAAGTTTGAAGGTGATGCCTAACCAATCCAACAGACAAGTCAAGACCCCCCCGATATTTTGGCGTTGAGCTCCCCCAAGGCCAAAAAAGACGAGGTCTGTGTAAGCAGCTGCCACCTGTCTCCTCCAATGTTCCGTGTACAACTGTAGCAGTTTAACGCCAAAGCCTTGTTCTTCCAAGCATTTTGGCTGCTATATGACATCGAAGCCTTCGCAGGACACCCTGGACTGGATGTACTCCGCCGCGCAGACGCTGGCATTTTCTCTCATTTTGCAGGGCGGCCCAGGTCCGGAGAACGGCAGTGTTCCTACAAGCAGTCAGACTTTTGTTCCAAGATGTTCTCCTTCGTGTCAGAGTTTACGCTTCGTACTGGGAGTGAAGATGGGGTCTGGGAAAGGCTTCTTCACGAGCAGATAGCACCATCAGAGCGGTCGGAACAGCGGTGATCATAAAAACTTAGCTGCTGGTAAATTCCAATAAGGAATCAAACTTTTTCAGACACCCTGAAATGGGCTTGTTGGCTGTGGGCTTGCATGCTTCTACTTTTGCCGCAGCTGAACAAAACGAGCTGCTCGCTCGTGCGACCAGCTTTCCATGGAGTGCTGCACTAGACCCTCTTGAAACTCAGTGAAAGACCCCTTGCCTTGCGAGTTTTGGGTTGCACGAGCTTTCCGATGACCTCGAGCCTGAAAGTGCTTCAGATTTGAATCCTAAGCATTTCCTGACTGCGCTCAGGACTCCCTTGCTCATGGCACCGGCCCAAGGAGGGAAGCGAGCGTGCACTGAGCCACAACACTTCAGGCAACCAGATACACTAGGACCTTACCTTCCTGGCCGTGCCATACCGAGAAGCTGGGACTCCACACGGAGATTTTTAGCTGCAGACCACTTCACATGGAAGTGGTCTCCGTACCGAGTTTTGCACGCGCAACAGCTTCTCAGTCTCACTCCCTCCCCCGCTCTACCCGTCCCTACCAAGGAGTATGCATGGTCAGGCCCACAAGAACCACCCCATGCAGCAACATGTGAAACATAGTTCCGCATGAAAAAAGCATCTACCGCCAGGCCTGTGTAATGCGCGCATAGTAAAAGGCGTGTATTCCCCCATGCCCTTCAGAGCCCAACATGGCTTTCAGTTACACAACAGGTATCGTGAAAAAGCTCGCCCAAAGTTCACGCCGAGGCCGCTGTCGTCCTCCTGTTCGTGCGCTTCGGACATCGGCTTACAGGGGCCACAATAACACGCAGCTGGAGAATGGTTCGTTAGGATTGGTTGGGCCAGCCGGAGATGGAGAGGTTATCCCTTCACACACGTGCTTCAGATATGTTACCAAGGTTACCAAGACACATCTATAGTTGGTGTGGTGCGGCAGGTATAAAAGCCGTGATCAGGACCCCGTTCAGGATGAAAGCCTTTGCAATTCGGCAAACGGCTGCTGTTGTAGTTGGTCGATGTTCAATGCTTTGAACAACTGCATTAAGCATTCCAGACAGGGCAGGTGATCTGGCTGACTGAAGCACCAAATACAATGCTTCTTCGATTCAGCAGGACTCTGAATTGCGAATGCTGTTACATGTGAGAAGATTTTTTGTGAAAAGCCTAAGGCATTCTGCCAACATCGACCTTGACGAGCATTTGCCCTTCCACGCCAAGGATGATCACTGCTACAAGGTGACCTAGAAGGCATATTGCAGGATTCTAAGTTCTAAGTAAGGCACGCACCTCGAAAGGATGTGCTCAAGCTGAAAGGTTCCGGTCGGAGCCTGGCTTGTGCCAATCCTGTGCTTGGGCTCACCCAACATGGAATGAGTGAATGGAACATCTCGGCGGTGTTGCCAATCGAAACAGATGATCCTGTGCCAGCAGACACAGGCACATACTCCCGGCTTCAATCCTGACATGTCAACGAAAGCGCCGAAACCCCAAACGTCAAGCGAGAACCCTAAGAAATGAACCTCCCAAGCCGGAAGCCAAGAGCCCCTCACCAAGTGGAAGCTTAACAAGCAGAAATCCTTGGCCAAGAGTAAGTCCAGCCCTCGAACCCAATCCGGAGCTTCCAGATCTTCCCTCCTGGACTCCTGCCCCCTGGCTGTCGACAGAAGAAACACAGGATGGCACAGGCAGCATTTTTGCCAAGAACGTGCCACTGAAGGGCTTGAGACGACCTTGCAGAAGCTCGCCGCTGCGGTTGGGTTCAAGATGCCGCGGGGCGGTGAATCTGCACTTCATGTTCGTGCACAGGCCCATAGAGCGCGAGCGGCACCTTCGCTTCTGAACCCGATCCACCACCAGGAGTGACACAAGCGACGCCTCGATGGAAACGAGGGGCGTGAGACAAGCCAGGCCGAAGGTCACAAGTTCACACTGTCAAGTGAGCCGAAAGGGCCAAAGGGGAAATACACATGCGCAATCTAACTCGCAGCATGACTCTTGCCGCGGGTTCAGGGCTGCAGTGGTTCACCAAAGGTGATACACCGTTGCTGCGACATCAGGGGTGCTCGGATGCGTAATTGGTGGTATCCACAACATCAGCAGCGCTGAAGTGGTCAGGGCCAAAGCTCGCGACCTTAACTCGAAAAAGCATCCTTCCCCGAATCCGCGAGGCAGTTGCCCGCTTTTCTTGCAGTGACTATGAGCAGGTTGCCCTTCGTTTTGAACGCACCACACTATTGAATCAAATCGCGAGGTTCTTGTCAAGCCGAGAACCAAGTCGTGAAAGCAAGCGCCAAACGTGCTGAAAGTATGCGGCATGTTTGTATGTTCCTTGTAGTAGTCAGGTATGGTCATCATGGAATCCCTGGGGAACGACTGTGGCAAAGCCCCCGTGCATGCACACTACAAAAGCAGACAAAAGCCGTAAATGTTGCACGCGTTTGGAGACTCTTCCTTCATTCCCGCACTTGTCACTTGCCCCAGAGCCTGAACCCTTCAACGTCAGGTGATCCTGCGGAACATGACGGTGTCAGGCCTGAGTTCACTAGAGCGTTTGCATACTCAAGGAGAGTTTCTGGGACGCGGCATTGCGCAGGACCACTTTGTTGAGAGCTATCGAGTTTTTGCAGTCTGGTTTGAGTTCAATATCGTAAACAAGTCGTGACAGAGCAACATCCACCTGTCATCCGGGAGTAATCCCAACAGCGGTGCCAAACCGCGCTCTGTTTCGGAGGTTGCATGGAGGCTCATGTGAGCTACCAGTGAGATCTGTTCAAGTGAAAATATTCTGACGCAAGACTACCGCACGGCGCCGACACTTTCATTCAGCTTTGGAATCCAGGCTTGCGATGTTGGATGCCATTCTCACAGCAACCCGTGGGGTGGGCCTTTCTGCTCGCATCTTCTTCTGAGAGACACGCCTTTGACAGAGCCGTGTGGGAATGCACAAAATCCCCCCCATCACAAAGCAAGTATTTCTGCATTCCTGGCTAGCTAGCACCTCCCCTCATGCAGCTTCCACAACAACTCTTGCGCTGCAGGTGAAGAGGGGCAGAATCAAGCACAGCGCTCCCAGCTGTGCGCCCGCTGGGAGATCGCAGGGCACCCTGTAGCCTGCCTCCACTTGGTCTTCAGGATGCAAGGGTGCAATTTAGCGAGGTTTCAATTTTCAATCAATCAAATCGCCGGTCGCGAATGTGCAAAACAGGCTTTGTCCACCGAGGAAAGGAGGCGTGACAGGAAGGGGTCATGGAGAGACTTCACCCGTTGTCTTGCCAACTTGAGGACTTGTTCAACTCCCGCGTCTGGTTCGAGTTCATCGATCATTGTAAACACAAGTTCTGATAGCTTGCTTGTGCGATTCAAGTAGAAGTCCCATGGCCGCCAGCCTGAGTCGGCAGTATTGAGAGAGAGAGAGAGAGAGAGAGCGAACGGAAGAACGAAAGACAGAGCAACAACAAGACTTGCAAAAAGACTTCTGGATCGAACTCCGGCAAGCTTCTGTGTTGCGAATCTCTCTGAAATCTGGGTCGCCCGCTGCACGCAGCCACAGTTTTTGTGGCGCATTCATGATGTTTGCCGGGGCTGGTAAGAGTAGGAGGAGGGACCTGGCGAGCACAAGCAGCATGCACAGAGTCTCCTCATCATGATGTAGGCCCTGTTCGAACTCGAAGTCCAGGATGCCTCCCCGACATGTTGAGGTTATGTTTCAGTCTGTTTCGATTCAGGTTTTTGCCGTTCGATAACAAAGATCTTCGCGCCATACTTGCTCAGGAAACCGCCACCATCACTACCTTCCAAGCAGATGCCGATGGAGAGATTGAGTTGGACGGTGTCATGCCCTATCACGCACTCCTCGTCTCCATCTACTTCAGGTCCAAGTCATCTACACTGCGGTTGCTCGGCAATGCCGCACTCCCGAGTGACAAGTTCATTCATAGTGGCTTTGATGGTGAGCTGCCGCTTTACCTACGAGGCAAGGCAGTATCAGGCATGCAGGTCGGAGTGTTCATCGATCGCCCTGCCATCAGCCAACAAGCAGTTGTACAACGTGGCCGCAGCAGCATCCGTCTTACTGTGCAGGGCAACAACGTGCAGGCTGCCGAGGAGAAAATGCAGGAGCTTGAGGCTTTCGGCATCTGCTTTGAGGACGATGACGACGATGCAATGATGCCAAATGACGATGTCATGCCGCCCGAGGTCACATGCCAGCTTGCGGGTATCACTTTCGAGGACGATGTCGTCCTTGAAAGCAAGTTCCAGAAAGACTGCAGTGAGCTTGGCATCACCTTTGGGTCCGATGCTGGTTCGGAAGACCTCCTAAGCCAAGCACCCGAGCACAATGACTTGTCAAGCAGCGTGGCTGTGGTCCCTCAAAGCTGACCAGGCGGGGCTACGGTCCCTCAAAGCTGACCAGGCGGGGCTACGGATGCTCTTGACTCTTGCTGAGGTCTGAAGCGATCGGGTCAAGAACTTTTTTTTGTATAGAACTGCTGTTGTTTTAGCAAAGCACACGAGTGCCGGATCCCATCAGTCTCCAAAGACCGAAACCTCTCATGAATCCTCCCGTCACGACACCGCATGGACAGCCGGAGACCTGCATAAGACGGGACGTTTTGATGCTGGGCATTGTTTGGAGCACATGCGCGGACGCATTGGGGGCAAGCTCATGTTGGGGATGCAACTGAGCATGCACTCACTGCCGATAGGCTGGTCACACATCTTGCTTGAGAGGCTGAGCTCTGCAAGGTAGCTGAATTGATGCATGAGTAACGTGTGTTCACATGCATACGCTGTCAAGAATGGACACCTGCATTCTGTCTGGCCCTAAATGCGCAGATGTTTGAAGCGAAAGAAAGGTACGTGTTTAGCCACCACGAAAAGCTTGACCAAGATGGGGTTTCTGCAGCAGGATCTTCCGGCTTCTTGTCACTGACTCCACGTGGTCTAAATCAAATGCCATGGTAATTTCACTGGTCAGGAGAATGAAAGCAAGATTTTGAAGGTTGATGCTAACGATATGGAGAATGAAACTGACCAGGATGAGGATGATGATGACCACCATCGTCATCATGATGAAGATGACGATGGACGTTGGTGGTGGGTCCAAGACCTTTCCAAAACGCGCACCCGACCATTCCTCGTGCCGCTGGCAGAAGAAAGGTGAACATGAAGAGGAAGAAGAAGCATGAAGACCGCCAACAAGAACGATCGTACAGTCTGCAAGCTGATTTGAAGTGCACTGTCGGAAAAGCAACGGAAGCCGAGGTGTTACGGAAGCGCGCCGAAGCATTGTAAATGCCATTGAGGTTTGCCCAATGCAAACACAGCAAACAGTCTAAATACCAGAGGTTTGAAAGCAAAAGAGTGCAAGCTGCTACATTCGAGAAAGGATGCAGCGAAGCGACTGTAGACGCAAGTGCAGCAAATGTTGCAAATACACACCGCTTTGCTTGTCGATTCAATAGCTCCTCCCTTGGGCCCCCCACACCTCGCCCATGACTCGCTTTGTGAGCCCTCAAATGACCTTCATCCCAAAACGCCATAAACCAAACATGCGACACTCTCCGCTTCAGCTGGTTTCCCAAGTCCAGAGCGAAGAGCACCACTTTCAAATTCCGGACAAGCACGGAGCAAATAAGTCCATGCCCATGATAGACCCCATACGAGGAGTGTTTGGAAAGGAAAGCTCGCAAAACAAGCAAACAGGACCAGTTGCCCAAAGCCGGCGCTTGGATCACGTCGGCACTCCGTCTTGAGTGTTCGTTCCTTGCTCAGGTTGACCTTCAAATCAATCGTCGCAGCCGACACATATGCTCTGATTTTGGGATTGCATTTTTCCATCATCTCATTTGTGATTCAGACTCCGGGCTAGCCGGAAGGCAGCCCTCGCGTCTTGAGCTTGTTGCACAGTGCCTTTCAGGAGGTCCTTGCTCATACAGAGCATTACAAGATCCCAAACGCTTCGGTTTCGATTCCTGCATTCCACAACTTTCGACGTGTCGTGTAAAATATCCGGAGATTTGGGATCACATATCTTGGCTTTAGAGGCCGGAATCATGTTGGCTCAGGCCAGCAACACTGGTCGAGCATGTCGAAGATCCTAGAGCCAAGATTAGGGCTTCTGATGCTGCAACAGGAGTGAGCAAGCCATGGTAGAGCGTCGTTAGGTTACTGTGCCCATTGGGCAATGTAGCTTGCTTGACCGGTGAAGAGTACAACCTGACTTGCTCCAACATCCACTTGATGTGGGAGATTGTTCCAGAAGTTGTGCAGCACGTTTGGCTTTCTCAACTTGTTGTAGTGTACATCGCGGACGAGACTTGTTATGTTGCTTGCTGATGTTTACTCAAGCATCCCAACTGTAAATATTCTCACAGTTGCGTTTGTTCGTTTCGTTAGACAATGGATCTGACACCAAACATTGTATCGCCCATTGTCTGTGTATACCTCTAAGGGACGAGACTTAGGAACCCCCACTTCTTGATGGCTCCGCAGGCGCAAGTCACGGAACATGTGAGGTGCATTCTTTGTGTTGAGCTCAACGCATTGCAGCCGTGCCTTTGTTGCGGAAGGTCTTCGGATGGGTGCTGCGGTATTTTCGTGTTGCTGGGTTCGACTCCGGAGATGAGGGCAGACTCTCATCAGAAAGCAAGGCTCAAATTCAATGATGTTCCTACTAAGTGGGAAACACCAAAGCGTTGGTGCGGCTTCCTGGTGGCTAGTGTTGAACAGAACTTTTCCGGATGGTATGAATGGCTGGTCATCGTATCATTACGGGTGCAGGAAGCAGTCAAGTTTGTTGGCAAAGGCTGGTCAAGCACATCGTAGTTTCACTCTTCCAGCCAAGAGTCTACATACCCAGCGAGTTGGTAAGTGCTGGTGCAGAACTGTCACTATGGTCCCCCTTTGGATTGACATACTGATCCATATTCTTCTTATCACTGAAATTAGCTTCCTCGTCCCATCTGTCGGCTGGACACTGCAACTTGCTGGAGGAGTGCAGACTATCACCTGACTTGCACCAAAATCCACTTGAAACGGGGTATGTTTCAACACCATAGTTTAGTTTAAACAGGGGCGGTACTCGCTCTGATGATATTTGAGGTATCCTGATCCTGAACCTCCTTCCATGTGCTGCTTATGCTTTTGTTCGAGATTGGATCCAACTCATGAGCCTTGTACTGTATTGGCTGATTTGCTCTTTGCGATGGACGATACTTAGGACCCCCGTTTCTTGATGGCCTCACAGGCGCATGTCATGGAATACTTGATGCGCAATCTTGGCCATTGATACTCAGCGCAATGCCATCCGTTTGGGAAGGCTTCTGTGCACATGGAGCACTGCAGAAGCCCTTGCTGGCGCATATTTGTGACCCTGGTTGCGATTCCTGCGTTTGGAGAAATTCAGAAAGCGGGCATGTACTTCAATGCACAGTCCGATGATTTTGGAATGTAGGCACAGAACTTAACAGAACATGATGCTCAATGTGATGTTCTTCTCGGAAGAGGATTTTTCGGGTGCATTGGTATGAATTCCTGATTGCCTGACTGGCAGCCTGTGCAGGCAGCAGTCATCTTTGCCCGGCAGGGTTGGTCAAGCACATCGTAGTTCTCTCGCAAACCATAGTTGCCATTCCTAACAAGCCTGTTTAGAAGGAACTGCCCTTGCGGCCCTTATTTGGACTACTACTTCTTATTGGTAACGTAACTTGCTTGACGCTTTCACAATGCCACGTAAATGGCGCCAACATTTGCTTGATGTGCAGCAGGGTTGTACCAAATCGTATGAAACCCTCGTTTCATTCAGTGGTTTCTTGCTTTGAAGGGCTTGCGCCTGCCGTTTACGTCGGGGCTGAAATTGATTCTGATGATGTTCATTCTTGGGCTGATTTGCAATGTCTTCCCTTGTTCTGCGTATTCTTTCGTTAGACGTTGGATCCAACGCATGAGCTTCGCACACAATCAATCTGTCTACGTTAGTGTACTTCTTTAAGTTTGCCATCATGGCAGCAAGGCGGCCGTGCTGCCTAGCTTGCTCAGCAGCAACGGTTCAGCACAATGAATATCCACACGTTCCGAGATTATGGGAACCTTCCTAACAAGTTGAATCTGCAATCATGCTTTTTTCCCGAATGCGTAGCAGAAGGGTTCCCGTTTTAAAGGTTGGGGTCCAGGGGTCCAGTCGTTGACCCGCGATCGGTGTTAAAGCGTTCGCAAGCGTCCGCGAAGCGTTCGCGTGTGTCGCGCGTGTGTCGCACCCGTGTCGAATCCCTCAAGCTAAGGGGCAACTCCACAGGGCACGCGTCCAGG